CTATTATTATAACCAAGTGTTTGTGACGCACTACTGCTGATCAGCACTCCATCCCAGCGTGGACGTGATATCATGCCAGCATAAGATCCAATTGCAGTAATCTCTTATGACAAAAACTCTATCACAGACCCAAACTCTCTCCGGCAGCTTTGACTTGTTGGCGCTGCGCAGGGAGTGGTGACAAAATTTAAAACCATCCACAATGCCGAATCCATACTACACATTCCCGCCCGATGCTCCCCTGAACTCCTTTGTCTACTGTCACAATCGGTCCGATAAGTCACCACCGCGACGACCTCGTCTCTCCACATGCCGACGTCGCGGCATCACCCATCCGCTCCCGGACTGGGTCGAATCGCCCTTCTCCGACCCGTGGGCATACACAGACCCGCAATCTAGCTGTACACTATATACGGTCTTCCCTCCTGAAATCCGATTTTTGATATTCGAAGCTCTGTTGTGCAATCGAGTGCTGCATATGAATCTTCTTAGTATGCCATCTCTCTATGACCTCGATTTTATGCAACGAGAATGTCACGGCCTTTTTATTCTTTTTGCTCATTTCCATTTTAATAATTCCCATTGCCTACCTCCGTCATCGTATAGATGAGATCGTTTTTCTGTTTACCGTTGCTAAAATAAACATTCATTAGATTACCGCGGATACAAAGTTCTCAAAGCCTGTCGGCAGACAGGTGTGAGGTGGGAACGGAAGTTCTGGGATACAGTTCTCAGCGGGTATTACGAGAACGCTAGAGTAACATGTCAATGTGGCCATGGATCACAGGATAGTCTATGTTTAGCGATTTTAAGAACTTGCAGAAGGATGTGAGTTACGCTCCTCCTTCCCCCCCTTCTTGGGCGTTGCGCCTTGCGCCCAATCAATGTATCATCCGAGAGGGGGAAATCGTGCAATAGTTTCTGACCGGCGTACCTCCTAAAAACCCCAACTGTTCCTTGCACCGTAGATATTCGGAATGCATTCCCCTTCTATACACCCGAAACACATTCAATTTCGGCAGAGACGTCGACGCCTCTTTCTTTACATCTAGACCCTTACACAAGCGCTTCCAATCTGTCTCGTGCATCGAGGTAAATATACCAAACTGTTATCCACATTATTCCAGCGACAGCGTGACACGAGAGGCATATCAAAAGCTCCTAGCACCGTTCGTCTGCCTGCCCCCAATGAAAATTCTCCGGCTCCGCGTGAAAGATCTCCCGCGCAAATCAGTCGATGTCGAGGAGGGCTTGAGCCGGGAGGAAGCCTGGCTGGCGCCCGTGGACAAGCTGGTGAGGCAGATGGCTTCGACGCTGGAGGAGTTGGAATTCGTAATTCCGGCGTGGGGCTTTGAGTTGCTGTGCTGTGGCGAGAAATCTAACGTTCTTGACGGGGCTGGCGACGGCGAGGGTTGCGAAGAGGAAGTCTTCTGCAATGAGCGGCGGGGCGGGAAGCGCTGTCGGAGACGACTTGAGGGCCTGAGGCCTGGAGTGCATTATTGGATTTCGTGCCCCGCCGCACCAGACCCGAGCCCCTGATAACAGTATATGAACGAAATGTGGGAGTGAACCATTTGGATTCGAGGTCCCGTCTCGCTGGTGAGGGAGGTTATAATATATCTGTTGGAGTTTGACTTGGGTGGATGAATACATGGTATATATCTGAGGATCATTTACACTCAGTAAAAGCGTGTCGTTATTTGGAGTTGGAGATTTCCGTTCTTCCTTTGGCCCGCCTGAGTGAGGATGGTATGTATATGGTATATATAAGTTATCCCCATATCTCCATAGCCTCGGATATAGGAGGGCCACTAAGTCTCAATGGGTGTGTTACTCTCAATTCAGGGTTTCGAATTGCCCTACAATGCGTTCTGTGAATATGCCACTTCCTCCATTTACTGCATTCTCAACACTCACGGTAGCCGCTACAGAGAACAGAGTATTTTGCTACCTATGTCATCTACATATCTCGCAACTGGCCTAACCTCGCATGAATTAGAACCATATATATGAAAAAGCTGTATACAAGCATCCGACAAAACAAAACAAAAAAAAAAAAAAAAAAAAAAAAAAAAAAAAAAAAGGCAATATCATCACATAACTTATCCCCATATCTTACTCACTCCAAGGAAATAACTTCAGTGATAGAAAATCAACTCTCTTTCACCTGCTTCCGATCCCAGCCCACCACATCCGTCCCAAAGAACCAATCCAACAATCCCAGCGCCCCGTAATTGACCCGAAACTTCTCGTGATGCAAATCATGCATACGCGCGCCGGCAAAGTCGTACCCGCTGTGCACGCTCGATGTCTCCGCCAGCATCGACACCAAGAACAGCGCGAACGACAAGATATGCACGCGGCGCAAGGCCAGCGGGAGCACGATGGGCATCATGTTAGCCAGCACGTGCTCGAGCGGGTGGGCATATTGCGCAGCCAGGGCCACGGGCGCGGTGAAGCTGTGGTGCTGCTTGTGGAAGCGCGTGTAGAGTTTCGGATGGTGCAGGGCGCGGTGGGTGGTGTAGTAGACCAGCTCGCGCAGGAGGAGAGCGTAGGTAAAATCGGCGATGAGTTCGCGCGGGGTGGGGTAGGTGGGGGTGATGGTGAAGACGGAGTATTGGAAGCGTGTGGCGTAGGCGAAGGCGAGGTGCAGGGAGACGGTGAATAGGTTCACGATGAGGACGCGCTGGAAGCAGTGAGCTATGACAGACCAGCTTGGTTGGCGGCCGGCAGATTGGAGTTTGTGCTTGCGGGTGAAAGCGGGGAAGGCTAGATCAATGCTGAGGTAGAGGGCACAGGGGATCCAGAAGCCGAGGATTTGGCATATGATTACGATGGAGACTTCGATGAGGCCCGGGGGGTAGGATATAGCTACTCGGGGCCAGAGTACTGGGTGAGTGGATAGGGAGGTCATGATTTGAGGGGGGGGGGGGGGG